ATTTCCAGTTCTGCAGCTTCAGCTCTTTATTTCTGATCTTAAATTTCAATCCTCCTCCAGTAAGTACCCCGGAAAACAAAAGAAAATTAGAAGAGAAATTAACCCCTCTGTCAATTATGGCATCTTTTGATGAAGCTTCAGCTTTGGAACTCATTAGGGAGCACCTCTTGACTGACTTTGCTTCCATGGACAGCTTAATCACCAATCTTGATGATCTTTGCAGTACTTCCAGCTCCGGTAGTACTACTGACTACATCAAGACCGAATCAACAGAATTCGATCCCTTTGATCAATCAGAGCAGCCACAACCCAAGCTGCAGAGTCAATCTAGCATCGAATCCAAGCCTCAAGCCTCACCAAAGTCTCCAAGCACTCTAAGCCAGAGAAAACCATCCATGATCAAGAACATCGCAATTCCTCCACCAGCAACCTTGAACATGACCCCACAAGTAGTACAGCCAGTGGTGACCAAGGCAGATTGTTCAAGTGAACAAGAAAGGCATTACAGGGGTGTTAGGCGTAGGCCATGGGGCAAATATGCAGCTGAGATCCGTGACCCTAACAAAAAAGGAGCTCGTGTATGGCTTGGAACATTTGATACAGCCATTGAAGCTGCAAAAGCTTATGACAGCGCTGCTTTCAGGCTACGTGGAAGTAAAGCAATCTTGAATTTCCCTCTTGAAGCTGGAAAGTCTAATTCTCAGCAACCTGAACAATTCTTGGAAACTTCAAGCAAGAAAAGAAAGATTGAAGAAATAGAGAGTAGTATGGAAAGTACTAGTTCTGTGATCACTAATAAGGTGGCGAAGAGGGAAAGTTCTTCGCCGGAAACTGAGGTCAAAGCAGCGGCTACGGATCCATTAACGCCGTCAAGTTGGAAGGGGTTCTGGGATGGTGAAGTCATGGGGATATTTAATGTGCCACCACTATCACCGTTATCCCCCCATCCTTCATTTGGGTATTCAAGGCTGATGGTTGTTTGAATGATTGACGGTCAACATGTCGTTTGGATGGTTGGTTTGCTGTTTGCTAAATTAGGAAAAATCTGATGGCCAAAAGTGTCGCGGATTAAGTAGAGATTAGGAAGTTTCTATACATAGCTATATATAATTAGTAGGGTTCATATACGCAGCTATGATTGCGTTTGTTGAAGATGTTAAGTTTTGTAAGATTGCATTTCTTCTTTGATTGCATTTATTCAATGGAATGGATTTTGTATTTTTTTGTCTAAAAGTCACAAAATGATAAGTATTTATTTAGTTCATAATTAAAAAAATTACAAAAAGCTGAACTTGTAAAAGATGGAAAAGCAATCCTGGAATCTAAACTTGACAATTATTAAAATTTAACTTTATCAAAATTAGTTAAGCATACTTGTACAAGATATGCAATCTCAAATTTGTAATTAATCCCTCTTTACTTTGTATAAAATGACTAACTTTAATTAGTCTCACATAATTCTAACAGTTTTTTCTTGTCTAAGAAGAAGAAGAATGAATTGAAAAAACAAATCTAAGAAAAATCAACAATAAATGAAGAAAAAAATTCAAGAAAAATCTACTCCTTTACGCCCATCAAAACAGTTATTTATAAAACTTGAGAATCAAAGCATTAGATTCTCATAATTAATGAATCTTCGTAACTAATGAATGTTTATAGTTTGTGAACTAGTATTAATTATATTTATTTTTATTATATAATTAACATATTAATTCATGTAATGTTACATGTATGCAGTTTTGTAATGATCGTTTATTCTTAAAGAAAAATATAAAGGTTTATCTGGCAAATATGAAGAGATAAAGAATTCTTATTTCTTATCAATAAAAATAAAATAAAAGTCATATGAAGAGATAAAGAATTCTTATCTCTTATCAGTAAAAATAAAATAAAAATCATCACTTCACTTAGTATTCTGGTTACTAGAAACCCTGATTGATCTCAAAATAGTATTCTGGTTACTAGGAACCCTAATTGATCTCAAAGATAGAATACGGAGACTAGTTACGTAAATAAATGTATTAACATTCCAAATATGCCCTACCTAAGATAAGCTGCATTGTTTTGTTATCTGATAAAATCTAAAGTCTTATTATGGTTTCTAATTATCGGTTTGTCTATAGTTTAAGAAAAATCCTCTTTTGTAAAGAGATCCTTATCTTATTGGGTAAAAATATAATTGTTCTATATTGTTAAAAGAAAACACCTTTTTAATATCGATAATATATTTTATGTATAACTTCATAATTTTTGATACTAAAACAAACAGAATAAAGTTTTTGAAATTTTAGTCAAAACTTTAATAAACTGATTATTAAAGTTAAAATGCATGCTAAAATATTGTTTTTTGGTGTATGAAAAACATAATATGATTTTTTTAGCTTTGAAACACTTGGCCGTATGCACAAAAATATTTTAATTTTTTTTTTGTATTTTAAAAGTTTTGATGAAAATCAAATATTTTAATATTGAATTTGTATTTTTACAGTATAAAAATATAGACCAATATTAAACAAAATAGTGTAAAACAAAACGTGTGAAAATCACAAAGTTATAAACATATAATTTTTTTTGCTGGGTCGAACCTAGCCACAGTTGTTTGGTTGGACAGGAATCGGCCCAAGATCTATAGACTGGGCTAAGCCCAATCAACCTCAACTGGTTACTGTGTATGAGCAGAGTAACCAGCTTCACCTCGCCAAGCAAGACGTATATGGTGCACGTGTGACATTACATGAACCAAAATTTAAAGATGATATATTTTTTTAATATTAAAATAACAATATGTTAGATTGATTTGGGACAACTTAGGCCAACGTGTCAAATTTTATGATTTCTTTCTATCTTTCCAACTTCTCTTTTGTGGTTTCTTTTTTCTGCTTTCTTCCCCTGTATTTATAAGAAAAATAGGAGAGAGAGAAAGGCAAGGGTAGCCACTGTGCATCTGTCCCAAAAACCATTAGAGGAGCATATCCTTTTTGTTTTTTTCACCGTCCCATGGTGGCCCACGGGTCAGAGTTTATGCAAATGGGGTTAAGGTTGTCGTCTTTTTGATGTTTAGGAGAGGGGGAAAGGAGAGAAGTCGGTGAAAACAGGGAAATAAAACTTTTTTCTTTCTATGTTTTCTGCGCGTCTAGGGGAAGAAGAAATGCTTGAATGACATCGTTTTGAGCTCTTTTTTTTTAACAGTATATAAAATGAAGCCGTTTTAGGCAAAACGCATTGTTTTATTTAAATGAAAAAGGTGCCAAACTTATGTCAAAGTACAAATCAGTCCTCAATTTGTGATTTATTCAATCGTGTCCTTAATTGCAATTTTGATTTTAAAAATCAATTCAATTGCATCCCTACCAAATTCAATCACAAGCCTTGAAGTTGGCTGCCTTTCTCAAATTGATTCTTGGTCTCAAATTAGTATAATTTGACCCTCAATTGAGCAATAAACTTCTAATTTCTTTAATTTGCCCCTTGATTTGGTTTAATTGCAGCTCCTCTATTTACATGTATTTTTTATTTTAGTTTTTGGTTTTGGATTTCTTCAAGTTAGTCCCTAATTGGCCATCAAACTTTAGTATTTATGTAATCAAGCATCTGATTTGATCAAATTAACTCTTAAAAATTATATTTTGACCCCAAAACTTGAATTTATTCCAATTAAAGCCCAACTTAACTCTAAAATTAATTTTTCTTGCAATTAAACCCTCTATAATTCAATTAAACTTTAAATAAAATTTAATTGTGTTCATAAACATTTGATTTTGGACTTTTCTTTCTCATATTGAATTTTTTTTGTTAATAAAACTCTCATCAGTCAACAAAATATTGTTAAATTTTAATCTTTATATTTTTGAATCTCTTTTAATTGTTATATTTTTTTGATAATATTTTTTATTTTTTTGTATTTTTTGAAGAGAGAAAATGTGAATCAAGGAATAACCCAAAAATAAATTATGACATGTAATAAGATATTTTAAAGTCTAAAAAAATTATTGACCAAATAATAATTTAATAATAAAATATTTTTCATTAATCAAACTTAAATGCAAACTCATAAACCTCGATGCCTAATATTCAAAGCTATTTTTAATGTGAATCTTTAACTTTTGCTATTTAAATGTTTTTTTTAAATAATTTTTCATTTATTTTTAATTGATTTCCACATGTTTCATATTAAAAAGCTTATGTTGGACTACAAATTCTAAGCATGATTTTAACTCTAAATATAAGTAGATCTCGTTTTTAATTGGGCTGTAACAGACCCATTTACATATTTTATAGAACCAATTCTAACATATTTCCCTAGAGTTCAAACTTTTTTGGTTTATCTGTCATAATATCTCAAGCTAGAATTATCGACATTGATCAGCAATTTTCTGTATACTCTTATGCTGGAGATTTTTCTTATTGGTTTGACTGACAAGGAGAATTTCTGGAGCAGATATTGAAGCTCAGGTGAATGTCGCCTAAACATCTTGGTAATGGCTAATTGTTTTGGGATTTTATGTATTTTGATAAGGGAAACATGCTATTTATGGTACTTGGCACAAGCAAGTTCGCTGAAAAGAAAAATTTATCTGACTGGGAACGTGAGGAAACCAAGTTCTGCGTTCATTAAACCAGGATCTGCACAATGAATGCAGCATAGCAGCTTCTTTGTAGCTTCATAAATTTAGCTCACCGACAAATTTACTTGACTTCCCTGAAGTATGTAAGTAACTCAAGTTTCTATTAATTCATGTGTGCCTTGTATGCTCTTCTTTATAGCCCATTCTTCCTCCTCTATTTGGAATATCAAAACGCTATTACTCTAGAAAGAAAAAAGAAAAGAAAAGTTGAGTAAAAGCTACCTTTATGAATATGTTACCAGAGAAAAGGATGACAAAAGTGAGTTGAGAAGGTAAAATTTTGGGAAGTTTACTTCAACTGCACCTTCGCTATTTACATCTCCATCACTCATCAACTAGACTGATCAAGTACAGAAGACTAGTAAACGGACCTAATTTATGCAGGTTCATGAATGCTTGTGTTGGCCCAGATAGCTGATGAATCGAATGGATACCAATATACCATCAGCCTTTTCACAGCGTTGCATCTGGTCATTTTACTTCAAATTTGGGAAGGCTGACAGAGAGGAATGATGTGGGATCTTTGATGAGCTTAGTTCATAGTGGAACCCACCATAACCAGCCTAGTTGCTAAATCTGCCCCCCTCCTAAACAAGTCAAGATGTAAACAGACAACATGCATAATAGACACCAAGCACAAGTTGTGCATAATAGACACACCAGGCACAAGTTTCGCATAATAGACACACCAGGCACAAGTTGTGCATAATAGACACCAAGTACACGCACAACACCAAAACTAGATGATATTTTCCTCCCGGCCCAATTTGAAACAAGCCTTAGTCCCCCCAACCCTCAACTTGTCCCCATTAATGAGGATTTGGATAAGATGACCCGAATCCAGCTCCAAAACCTGGGTAAAAACCGTGTGCCATCATGCTCCACGATGCAGTAAACCTGCTGCATCAAATAAATTCAGGGAGTCCCATTTGATGTTGATTTTCCGATGCAAAAGTAGCAACTAGGATTCACTCCCTATATATAAAAACTAATTGATTGCCACCCATATTCCATATAACAACTTTTTTGGCTCATTTTTTCTGTCTCTAAAAAATGGCAACCCCGGAAGAATCCTCAACATTAGAACTCATAAGAAAACATCTTCTTGGAGACTTCACCTCCACAGACGAGTTTATCAGTAATCTTGAGTCCAGTATAGCCAGTGTCTCTGTCAAACTAGAGAGCTCCCTTTCTGGGTCAGAACCCAACTCCCCAGTATCCGACCAAAGTTACCATAGTACCCAAGAAGCCTATAGCTTTGAAATAAAACCTGAAATCATAGACTTGACACCTCCTGAGCCCGTGTTTTCAGGTTCAAGTAATCAGTACCCGCCACCTGAACCTGTAAAGATGACAGATAAAGGAGAGACTGTAAGGCATTACAGGGGGGTCCGAAGAAGACCGTGGGGCAAGTTTGCAGCAGAGATCCGTGACCCTATCCGGAAGGGAAGTCGGGTTTGGTTGGGTACTTTTGACACTGATGTTGATGCTGCAAAAGCTTATGACTGTGCTGCATTCAAAATGAGAGGCAGGAAAGCAATCCTGAATTTTCCTTCGGAGGCTGGACTATCCAGCCCGCCGCCAGCCACAGGCAGGAAGCGAGGAAGATCGAAGCGAGAAGAGGTGCTGCCGGAATCTGTTGATGTGTCAACGGAAAATTGGAATGTAAAGTGGAGTGGAGAAGTAGAGGAGGGTGTTTCAGATGAGGAGCAACTGTCACCGTTAACCCAAGAAACCATGTTGGCAAGGCTTTCTTAAAATGAACAAAAGCTCACCACGTCAGCCATGCCTATGATCAGAGAAACAAAATCTAATCCATAGTTGGCTTGGAATCAAAACTCGTCCACCTATCCAATTCCTTCAGGTTGAATGTATTGTTTGCGTAAATAATCGTGTGATTAGGGTGATGTCGGAGTGTTAAAATGTAAATGCTGGTAGTACCATGAATGAATGAACAGAATTTTGTCAAAAAATCTAAGGCATGGGGGTGCCTTGAATCTCTTGCCTTATTCTCTCTCTTTCCATTTTGATTTTCGTTCCGTGACTCGGTCTGTGAAAATAAACGCAACATTGTCAATTCTAATAATTCCATCATCTTTAAGTAAAGCCCCGTCAGCTGAAAGACTTCTATGCCTAATTCTAATGTTAATCTCATAAACTGACTTGGATATTTTCTCAAGCGATGATGTCTTTTACTTTCCTATTGAGAAAGATATCTACCCAAACAGTGGTGTCATAAAGTGAGCAATATACTTGTACGTGACAGTCAGATATTTTCCCTCATCTCAAGTCGTAGCAAGCAACAAATTACCATAGACGTGGACAAAAAAGTTGCGCAGAGCACTCCTCCAGGCCACCTAAAAGGTTTTTGTGCAGCTTGCTGACAGAATTTAAGTAAATGTTTGATATTAATATAGTTTTTGTGCGGTTGCCGTTTGATATTAATATAAACCAGGTCGGGTATACTAAAGAACTGAAACCTGCAGCTACCACAGGGAAGATGATTGTAGGAATCGCTCGAGTTCGCTCGCCTTTAATCTTCTGCTGCACAGACACAAAACAATTAGTAATCATACCTCTTCTCCAAAAAGCGGTTTATATAAATGGCAAGTGGAAACCCCCCTCCAAACTAACAAACCAACAAAAAAAAAAAAAAAAAACCTCGGCCTTGACAATTAGCTAGTAAAGTAACTGAACAGCAAGTCAGCTTGCAGTAAAAGCGAGGGTCCCACATTTTTATATACAGGTTCATGCATATACATGTGTCCTATGAGGTGCCAAAGTTTTGGAACTTAATTATCGCAACAAGGTTGTGATTGGTAATTCCTGTCATGTTTATGAATGCGTTCACAGGAAGGACTCCATGAGCAAGTTGCAAAGAGGCCCCTGTTGGGTCTACCAGCCAGAGTTTTCTTCACTAAATTCGCGTGTGACCATATACAATGTACCACCATGAGCAACTGGTACAGAACCAGTTGTACAAGATAGGCATAGCAAGCAACTTGCAACTTTATATGTGAAAGAACCAAAGATACTACACTTCCTATTGTCGTCATCCTCTCAGCCAGATGATATCATTCTTCTTGGATTCGATAATGCACTGTCTTTGAATTTGGAGTTTGGCTGCTAGTGCATTAGAGTAAGGACCACCGACTCTCGAAGGTTTCTCCTTACGAGAGGAACAAGTTCGAATTTACTAAAAAAAAAATAATAATCAAAGAGGCACCATCAATCACTTGTCAAGTACGGCAGGCATGCATGTAATCATAGAAAATTTCGAACCAGTCTAATGCAAGTTTTATCATCATCAATTCATTCCATATCGAGAGTCAATCTGCTAAACAATCTCAACACAAACGCTGCAAGCATAAAAGAATATTCATTAACTGTAAATATACGTTGACATCATTTGAATTTAGTAAATATGATGGCTGAGTCATTGAGAAACAGATATTGTCTTAAAATAGCAGACTCTATCAAAAGAAACAATCTAAACTGCTGTCTACAACTTAAGAATCATCATAAATGGCAGCCACCAAAAAATATTTCTACTTGTTCTAAGGCATTGGTAAATTTACATTGGCAGCATCTCGTTGGAATTCAAGAAACTAGGCTGATTTGTTGAAGCAAGAAGTCTGGCCCACATCCTATCTGTTACCTTCACTGTATTTTGTGCCTCTGTCACACGCTGCAATATTACAAAAGTTGATTCTATCATGCATCACAAAATTGTATAGCATTAGCTATACGTCACCTTGTGAATCCCTCCACACTGAAATTGGGTGTGTGCAAGGGAAGGACTAGGAAACACAATGTCACCAAAAAGTATAGAAATATTGAAGGTACTAGTACCAAAGAATTTATACACGTTTCCACAGACTCCAAGACTAATCCTGCTACTAACTGAAAATAATTGTTGTGTTCATTGGAGTTCAATAACCGCTTAAAATCATTCATTCTGGCATATTGCAGCCAAAATAGAATCGTCACATAATTGACAATAGAAGTGAGAATTCAGAAGACACAATGGAACAGGAAATTTACAGAGCCACTGCAAGGTTAGCTCAACATCAAACATTAATAAAAAAGGCCAGAAACAGTTAGTCATATTCTGCATCATCTGTGTCAGCGGGAGGCAACATGGGAACCAGAACAGAGTCTGCACTATGGTGCAAAGAAACTAAATTATGGTTTTGTGCACTCTTGTGCAAAGAACTAAATTAAGCTTTTGTGCAAACTGAAGTAAGAGTGACGATGGATCAGGAAAGGTACTAGTTTTCATTTGTCATCAAGCAGGAGGAGCACCCTAAATTAGTTTTGCATTCATCCTGCAAGGCAGCAGTTGAATTTATTCTTACCCATCTTATATGATTTTCCAAGTTGCTACTCCTTCACTGAGATTCAAGCATTTGGGACATATAATTAAATAATCAATCCCAGTAAAACCTGTATTGGCCATCTTATGATGACAGGAATTTAGCCATCATAATTCTCGATCCCCTTCTCCTTACTTACGAGGTCAGTTAGTCTTATTAATCCACCCAAATCTATGAGAATCTAGCTTTTCCTGGTTAAATGCATCATATATAAAGGCCGTTTATTGAATCTTGATGTATTGATTCACACTTTGGACATTTAAATTTGTAAAATTATAAATATAGGAGCCAGGTCTCATATTTTAAAACCAAGGTAAACCAGCAAGTGAAACTGTATTCATAGACAGTCATGTTAGTCATAAACAAAGATTGAGAAGAGGAAGTACTTACAGCAATGGGAATATAAGCATGTCTGCTGTTTACTGGACCAACTGTGAATCCTGTGTACCCAGCCATGGCCCCATGAACAGCACTTTGTGCAAGAAGACTGCAATAAATGTTGTCTGATGCATTACTTGGGATAGCTCTAATCATGTATGTAGGATCTGCATACGAAAATATAAAAAATTAGATACATAGAGCTCCTTCATCAGCACATGGGGAGATTTTCCACAAGGTTCTCAAGCATATTTTCTCTAAATTTCTCTACAATTTAAGTTTGAAATTTTAAGGCTTGAGAACTCTAGTTTTATCTTCACTATACACTGCATTAGGTGGTATCAAATCAGGTCAACATCCAAATTGATAGCGAGTCTTGAAGAGAATCATGGAGCAACTGGAGGCAATCATCTTCGTGATGGAGATTAGAAGATACAGGCTGTTTGAAATCAACTATATTGTCATTTAGTAGCAATAGCAGCTATAAGGAGCAAGTGCAAAATGGGTTTGGCAACATCAACACTAAATTTTATGAAATTAAAACCATGCTTGAGACACCAGGTTACGCGCAAACATGAACTGAAAAAGAAAAGAGGCATGCATTGGGGATGAAGCTTGCGACCAACTTGTCATCGAATTAGTTTGTACAAATCCTTGTGGTCACTATTACTACAAGTATTCATCTAATGAAGAAGATCTATTTTAGTTGATGGAAGGCACAAATAGGAATCGCAAAGAGTAGAGGAACATGTTTGGAGACTTGTCTGAAGACCAACCATACTTTAAACATATTCCTAAAATTCCACCTAAACAACCACTTGTCTATGGAACCTTGTCAAATCAAGACAAACAACCACAACCTAAGAGATAGAAATTGATCATTGTGATTGAAGGTTAGAATAAGCAACAACCTCTTGATGATGAGGATGTTCTATGTGAACTTGATGGAGATGATGAAAGATTTATATGATGATGAAGGTCGTGCAAACAATGACATGGAAGACTCAGTAATTTCTGGCAAGTCTTTTGGATGTATTATGGATGATTATTTTGGTGTTCATTTAAATACAATGGTTGAAGTATTTGAGGACATAAATGATGATAAACTCCAAGTTTGAAGTAGAAAAATATTGGAAGAAACTACAAGTAGACTTCATAAAAATAAAAAGTAGATCAGAGATGGATTTTTTTTTTATTATACCCATATTAAATTTTGAAGTTCAAAAGTCAAAGACATAATACTTCGTGAATAAATTAGTTAAGGTATTGTACTTGGAAGTAGTTTTTGTTAATAGAGTGGAAAAGTTCAATTTTTGAATGAGTATTTTTCAAATGGAGACTAATGTAGAATAATTATCTGAGGGGTTTGTAAACCATATTAACAAGGACAAGCCCAAAAAGAAATCCACAAAGAAACCCAGAAACATATGATATGAAGCCTAAAGTTACTATTTTCTTGTTTTAATTATTTTCCAATTTAATTTTGTATTTTAATTATTTATTTCCTACTTAGCTTAGAACCTTTAATTTAATTAGTATTATACTATTTAAAAATCCTAATGTTAGATGAATTCTATTAATTAGATAAGTTTTATTTAAGAATAATTTCCTATAAAATATTTTAGTTTTGATAGGAATCATTTCCTTTAAAGAATTTCATGACTAATATAAATAGATAAAAGATTATTTTATGAAGATAAAGATTATTATTCAAATTTTTATAAAATAACAAAGAGTTTTATCTAAATTTTTCTATAGCTTAGATCTATATCCTTAGAGCTTGAGAACTCTAGTTTTATCTTCGTTATACGCTGTATCAAAACTCGATAAATATTACAGAATTTAACCATATGAACCTTTATGGTCTAGCCTCAAACTAGAACATGTTTTTAGTAAAAGATATTTAGCATGACCTCTCATTACCTACAAATAAGCATATGTCAAGTGCATTGTTTAATTTATTTTTTTTCCTAAAAACAATATCCAAAATTAGTTTTCTTAAAAAAGTCGCCCTTGAAATAGGATAGTGTTTAGCAAAAGTTAGAATCATCAGATGCAACAGTTTCTAAACCAAAGATAAAATGCTAATGCAATCATTTGGAAGGTACCTATATATTTCATATTTATCTCCATCTTCTTCACCTTTGTAAAATGATCCTGCAACATGAGATATTAAAAATATAAACAGAATTAGTACTAACACTAATAGTGCAAAAGTAAATAG